TGTCCACGGTCAGGGCCCCGCGGTGACCCTCGTCCCTCTGGCTCTGGCCCCTTGGCCATTCCCAGGGATCCAGGATCAGCTCCTGTTTTAAGGCCAGCTGCTTGGCAGCTTTGATTCCTTCTTTACCATGTAAGGAAACGTTCACAGGGTCTGGGGATTGGGACGTGGACCTCAGTAGGGGTGGGTGTTGTTCTGTCCACTATCACATCACCATCGTCACCACCGTCACCACCGCTCCCATGCTACATGTTAGCCAACTGTGGCCCCAGGAGAGGCACGCACTTGTCAGGACTGCTGGCTGTCAGGTGGCAGAGTGGGGAGCAGGCCCCAGGCGTGGGGCATGGAGCCCCCCCCTCCGCCCCTGGCTCCCCCACAGCTTCTCCCTCCGGGAACATCTCCGTGGGGACCTGTCTCCCAAGGGAGGGCTCCAGCCTTTGGGATCATCCTCATCCGCCTGGCTCGCCACCCTTCTGGGCCCTGCTCCCTAGAGGAGAGAGTGTGCCGAACAGAGCCGTGTGGCCTACCTGCGCTGTGTCCCTCGGCACACGCTGAAATTGAAGCCGACAGGTTGTGAGGCCTGTGCCCTGTGATGACCAGGGGGGACTTTATTGCACCACTGTGTCATGTGTCCAGCAGGTTCAAATACTCAGCCCCCCTCATGCCTGGCAGGGTGACTGTTCCAGAGTGGAGTCTTGGGCGTGGTGGTAGCACCGGCCGGGACGCCCACGTGCCCACGGCAGATGGACTGCTTTTTCTTAAAGACGTCATGCATGTTGAGAGTTTCTGTCCTTCAGGAAGAGTTTCTTTGTGTGTTCCCAGCTGTCCTGTGCGCATAAGGATGATGTCAGATATCCTGGTCTACCCCACCATGCCACCCACACGGCAGTGTCCCCTCCCCATTTACTTTTTCCAGGCAGTTAAAATATTTGGATTTCTTTTTTTCTGTTTTGTCGAAAAACAGTGGCAAGGGAGAGAAGCTGTGGCAATGAGATAATGCGTTGGCCGCCGCCTCCTCTCTACAAACCTCCGCAGAAGGTTTAAGTCAAATGCCTTCCCGTTCCCCCACACCGGGCTGCAGAACCTGCGATGTGAGCAGCCGTGGCCTATGTGCTCCGTGTCCACACGTGATCCCGGGCGTGGGAAGCAGTGGCTGGAGGTCCCAGCCAACCGCGTGCACACGGGGTGCCTGCCTCGCCAAGCCTGCCAGCAGACTCTCCAGGCCTCCCCACTGACCCGCCCCTCACCCCCAGATCCAGGCCACTGAGCTGTGTGGTGGGAAGAAGGAACCCAGCGGGCTCCAGATGAGCGGAGCAGACGTGCATCCGTGGGGACCAGCACACGGCCCTTGGCCGAGAGCTCTGCTTTCCTCAGACCCGTCTTGCTGGTTGCGTGGAGTTAGACCATGCACTTTGGGCCAGGGTAGTCTCTGGGCCCTCCTGTCGGCCCCAGCCAGCGGCCCCTCCTCCGTGCTGCTCTGGGCCTCGTGGGTCTTTTTTCCACCCATGCTCCTACCTCAGTGTTAAAGTAATGGTGACAGATGGGCTCAGAGGGGCCGGCCTCACCAGGCTGGACCCCGCCGCCGTCTTCCTGCCCCCTCTTCTCACCTGTCTCCTTCCGATTCATAGTCACCACGGAAACGAAGGCTCGGGACTTGGGGATGGGACAGTGTGAATCTGCACTCGGCCCTAACCTCCCAAAGCCACTCTCCCAGGGAGAGGGCTTGTCCCTCCACTGTGGGGTCCTGAGGCGGGAGAGTGAGTGTGGTGGCCCCACATGCTTCAGCCTGACCCTCAATGACGTGAGGGGCTCCAGGACAGCCTGGAGCAGGGTGAGGCTGCAAAGGCAGGGCCCAGAGGAAGGAGCCGGGGCCAGGGTGTGTGCACCCGCATGTGGACATCGGGCAGAGAGGGTTTCTGTCCCTGTGTGTGTGCGCTGAAGGGGGTGCGACCATATGCCCCTGGCTGGGCAGCAGATGGGCCCATGCCCGGGGACCTGAGCCCTGGCTGCCATCTGGTCAGCACAGGGCGTCCTGAGTGCACCTCCGTCCCATCATTTCAGGTGAGCCACCAGCTGGGTAGCGTCATGGACCTCTTCACCACCAGCCTGTCCCTCGCAGGCCTGGCGCCGCCCAGTGACAGGGTGATCGACGGCTTGGACCTGCTCCCCGCCATGCTCTGGGGCCAGCTGACAGACAGGTGGGTCCAGCCGGGCACTGGCCCCCCAGCACCAGGTGACAGAGCCAAGCCTAGCTGACAAAGCAGCTTCCTCCCCCAGCTGGCTCAGGGCAGGGGGAGGACATGAGGGGCAAGAGCCCTGGTCCTCCGAGACCATTCCCAGGACCTGGGGCATCGGGGCACATCCAGGCCCAGTGCTCGGGGCGGAGGGACGCGGGAGGGAGGACAGACTGTTCTGCCTGAGTCACCAGCCGTCCAGACCCCTGGAGCCCGGCCCCATCCTGGGCTCCATCCCCGCTGGATCCTTCATGTCCAGACTCAGCTTCTCCCCGGCTTGAGACCAGCTGCTGTTCTGCTCAAACAAAACGAGGTTTCCAGGCTGCTCCGAGGGACATGAATTCTGAAATGCCAAGTCGTGTAGCAGGGGAGCGGTCCCACCGTCCTCGGAGCCGCCCGCGGCCTCGGCTTTAGGGCGCAGATGAGACAGCATTGTTAGGTGTCTTCAGCGTTGCCTGTCTTTTCTGTCTTGAACTCTGCACAAGAGCTGGTTTACTGGTGGGGAGGGGGTGCAGGTGGTGGTGGTCTTAGCAGGCTGTCTTCCCCGAGGTGAGGGCCAGAGCCGCTCTCTGCCTGCCACCAGCTTCACCCCCAGGGCCGAGAGCCAAGGGGACCGACCATGGGGCTCACCCCTCACAGCCTGGTGGACCTGTTCACCTTTGTGCCCAGTGTGAGCCCAGCATAGTCATTTCTGTAACATGTCAGCATAACCGTGCGCCCACAAGTTTCTCATGTCTCCTGACCCTCTCCTTTCCTCCCCAACAGGCCAATATTCTATTACCGCGGCAACACGCTGATGGCGGTCACCCTTGGCCAGTACAAGGCCCATTTCTGGACCTGGACCAATTCCTGGGAGGAGTTCAGACAGGTACGGGGGCTTGGGGTGCCGTGGACTCTGCACCCCCAACACCCTGTCCTTAGGAGGACACCTCTGGACAGCGCAGGCCAACAGGCGGCCAGGACCAGAGGCCTCTGCAGAGGGCTGGTGGCCACAGGGTTCTCGTGCTCGCCACCTTACTTGTGGGCTTCCAGACTCACTGTGACAGCAATCCCCAACCTCTACCAGAACACTCTCGGTAAAGGGCATGGCAGAGCCCCGTTGCCTGGCCTGTGCTCTTGGCACAGGACTCCTCCAGGCCCCCCCAGCCCTTCTAGCTTGTGTCCAGGGTCCCCGCACCTGCTGTCCCTCCCCGCAGCTGAGCCCGTCCTTTCTTCAGGTACAGTCTCAGCCATCCTGAGCACCTGGGACCCCATCTCCTATCAGGCAGGGCTGCATGTGGTTTGTCCTTTAGGTGCTCAGAGGCTAAGAGGTCATAGGAGCACCCGAAAACCCAGAGCCTGGCCGTGTGGGCTTGGGGGCAGCTGTGTGGCCTCGCTTCTCTCTCCAGGGCCTTCTCCGGCCCCGCTGTCGGCTGCCCGAGAGTCCAGGTGGCACAGGAGCAGCCACTGCTCAGGCCCCCCTGGGGCTCCCTGGCCCTGCAGGCTCTTGGGGCCCCTCGGGTCAGGGTCCAGTCAGCCCCGGCCCAGATAAGACCCGTCCCAGCTTCCACGCGGGCCGAAACCCGGAAGAGCTGGGGGAGCTTCTTTCAGAAAGGGTGTTGGGAAAGTGCAGAAAGTTCTGCAGGTGGAGCAGCTCCCTGGGTGACCCGTCCTGTGTTTACGGTGGGCCAGGAAGTATCGGGAGAGGCCGTCCCCGCCCGCGGACACAGGGCTCCCTCTCCCTCAGGGCTGTTGGCTTGGCATAGCTTCTGAGTTCTCAGCAGATGAAGCACACGGTTCTTTTCTCCTCTGTGTAGAGGTCAGGGGAGTCCCTGCCTGGGGGGCAGCTGCCCGGTGGGGGAGTGGGCTGACCGTCGGCTGTTCTGATGGCCCTTCTCCCTCCAGGGGTCACTATGACCCAGGGGGCGTGTGAGAGTGCGAAGGGCCCAAGAGGTAAGGGTGACAGCGTCCCTGCGGCCATTGGCTGCTCTCTGGAGCACCAGGGGGATGGCAGGCCACCTCTTCCCAGCCCTTCCAGGCGGCTGACACGCTGCCAGCAGCTTTGTTCAGAAGCCACGGGGCTGCCCTGCTGGGGCACAGCCAGGCCCGGGCAGGCTCCCAACCTAAGGGACAGGCCTGGGGTGCGTCTCAGCCAGTGTGTGCAGGTCTGTGGTCCCTGGCTTGGGAATCACCCGCATGGACCTTGCTAGCTTCTCAGCTATGCTGTTATCCCTGGGGCCCGGCCACACCCCAGGTCAGGCTTTTCCGTTCCCCTGGGGCTGGCTGAGCAGGGAGGGCAGAGGAGGAGGGAGGGGCCAGCTTCCCTGTACCAGCCCAGGGCACAGCAGGAGTGGGGTACACACATCCCACACATCCCACACTTAGCCTAAGTGCAGGGCTCCACGGGCCAGGGCTACAGAGGGGCAGGTGTGCCCCGCTCCCCATGCTCCGCTCTGTGCACAGGCCTGGGCTCTGAGGGGGAAGGGGCCACTGGGGCTGGCTTGGCTCTGATGCCCCACGGCCGCGCCCTCCCTCACGGGACAGCAGTCGTAAGGGAAATTCTGTGCTAATGAGCAGCGTCTTAATTAAATCCCGTATTTGATTTGCATCTGAATGAGGATTTGTGTGTTCTGTCTAGACCATTAGCTACCAACATTTTTGTGCTGGAGGTGGTGGCTCTCTCGTTGTCGAATCCATACGTGTTCTCCAACACTTCTGCTCCCAGAAGGTCAAGGGGTTGCCCACTTGGGCATCCATTATTGGCTGCCCTCTCCATCTTCGATTCTCCTTATTTTTCTGGCCACTGATTCAGGAATCACAGCTCAGTGCAGATAAATGAAATTTCATGGGTTCCTTACCTCCTGCTTTATTGAAAAGCAGAGTATTACCTGCTCCACTGGCCAGCTGTCCCTGACAGACACCGGGGCGGGGGGGGGGGGGGTCACACACGGGGGAGTTGCCCATCGCCTGCACTGGGGCCTGCAGAAAGCCTTCCAGTTGCTCGTGGTTGAGAAGCGAGCGGCACACGTCTGTCCCCAGGCCCCAGTTCTGGGGTTCACGTGCACAGGTCACAGCCACCTTTCCAGACCCTGTAAGCCGTGTCCTGTGTTGGCTGAAGACTGGAGCCAAGCTGCTTGAGGGGCCCTGGGCTCACCAGGGCGTCAGGATTCTGGCTTTTCCTGTTCCCAAGTCAGGGAGTCCCGCATCCTGTAAGCCTTGGGGACAGAGCTCCAGGCCATGAGCGCAGCAGCTTTGGGAGGGAGCCCCAGGGCCATCCCAGCACCTGGACGGTGCTCATGCCACACGCTGACTTCAGAAGCTGAAGCTGCCCTCCCCCCACCCCCAACCAGGAGAGGACCCGAGGGCAGGGGCGGCCTGGGGAGGGTGTGGAGCTGGGCCTGATGCACATGATCTGTGCTCCTGTGTCCTCGAACATGTCAGCAGTAGTCCCTTTCAGTCCCTGCTGTTCCCGGGGCGTCTGGGCCGCCGCCATGGGCCTCTGTCTCTTTCTGGCCTCCGAGGCGGCCCAGGAGCCTTCAGGGAGCGCTGAGCACGGGGCACTGCGGCCGCAGGAAGCAGACCAGGTGGGGTGGCTTCGTCCTGGAAGCTACCAGATGGGCTAAAACAGTTTATGTATTTTGTTTAAGCGGTAGCACTCTTTTTTTTCTTTTTTTCAAGATTTTTTAACCAATCTCTACACCCAACATGGGGCTCAAACTCACAGCCCCGAGATCGAGAGTTAACACGCTCCACCAACTGAGCCAGCCAGGTACCCCAAAAACATTTTAAAGAGAGTCAACTCCCATTCCCCAAAAAAGGGGTACAGTGGGGTACTAAAAACACAGGTATGAGGGCTCAGCGGCTCGGAGGCCAGGGATGTGGGAAAGACATCCTACAGGAGGCCTGCTCCGTTGCGCTCAGCCCCAGAGCACTCACTCGTGCGTCCTGGGATGCAGCACGCAGGAACGGGGAGCTCCTGCCTCGCGGGGCGCACGGCCACTGCTGCCTGGGCTCCTGGGGCGTGGGTGCACGCATGCACATGCAGGCGTACACGCACACGCACACGTGCGTACATACACGCGCGTACACGCACATGTGCGTACATACACGCACACGTGCAAGCACATGCATGCACACACGTGCGTACATGCACACACATGCATGTACACGCACGCGTACACACGCGCACACATGCATGCACACGAGCACACGTGTGTATGCACACGTGCATACATGCACATGCGTACACGCACATGCACACACGTACACACGCATACACACACATGCATGCACACTTGTACACGCACGCGCACACGTGCATACACATACACGCATGCACACACGTACACGCACGTGCACACACTGCATACATGTACACACGCATGCACACATGCGTACACGCACATGCACAAACGTACATACACGTATACACACGCATACAAACATGCACACGTTCACGGACACACGCACACCACGTACACACGCGTATACGCACATGCACACATGTACATACACGTACGCGCATACACGCACATGCATGCACACGTGTACACACACGTGTACACACACGCACATGCATGCACGTGTACACGCACACACATGTGTACACGCACATACATGCACACAGCCCTCACCGTCCGCCCGGCCTCTCGTTTCAGGGTGTTGATTTCTGCCCTGGGCAGAATGTCTCTGGAGTCACCACCCACACACAGGAGGAGCACACAAAGCTGCCCCTGATCTTCCACCTGGGACGAGACCCGGGGGAGAGGTACCCCCTCAGGTGAGCTGGGGCACGGGGAGGCCTTTAGGCTGCTGAGAAGATGTTGGCCGGGCCCAACCAAGTGCAGGTGCTCACCAGCGGGTTGGGTGTTACCAAAGAGTCAAATGCGCGTCTTGAGCTCTTGGAGACACAGAAGAGCACAAAGCAACACACGGGGGCCTCCTGCCCCCAACAGGTGCTCCAGGCCTGTCCTCTGGTGTCTGCCATGGCAAACGCTGCTTCTTCCGGCACGGTGCCGTGCGTGGCCTGCTTTTCTCGGGTGCGCCCATCTGCCTGCCATCTGTCTGCCATCTGTCTACCTCTCTCACGGGTCCGTGTGACCCCCACCTGGGCTGCCTTCAGGGACGGCTGCACTGGGGGCTTGAGGGTCCAGGTGTGGGGTGGATGAGAAGCTCTGTGCATGGCAGGCAGCACAGCTTGGAAAGATCCACCCCAGGGCCCCTGCCAGCGAGGCTCTGGGACGGGGCCTTGCCATGCCATCCGGAGCACTTGAGACACTGCCCGGGACCTTTGTCCAGCTTTGAGGCCCAGGACCCTGGGAAGGAAACAGGTGTGCCCACACCTACATCTACTCGAACCTCACACATGGTCTTATTGGTAGTAGGGACTTTGTAGGGGTAGTTAAGGTGAGGGTCGAGGTGAGGTTGTCCTGGACTAGGGTGGCCCTACCTCCAATGAGAGTATCCATGGGAGACAGAAGAGGGAATGCAGACACAGGGGAGAGACCACGTGAAAACGGAAGCAGAGATGAAGGGACCCCTGGAGCTTCCTAAGGGGGTGCGTTCCTGCCTGGATCTCAGACTCCAGCCTCCAGAACCGGGAGGGAAGAGATGCCGGTGGTCTAAGCCCCAGTCTGTGGCCATTTGTTATGGACGCTCCAGGACACTCACAGGTGGGAGCTGGGAGCCCCTTGTGGTTATCACCAGCCACAGGTTTGGAGCCCAGGGCCACGTGCGAGTGGGGTTGGGGATCAAGCTAGACCAGCGGGAGGCTGGGAGGAAGCAGTGTGAGCTCCCCTTCTGCCCCTGGAAGTAACTTCAGAGCCAAGACCCAGCAGGACCATGGGAGTGGATGGCAGGGCCCGATTTCTGGGGGAGCATGACTGCCTCCAGGGTCCCCCAGAAGTCACACGTGCCCCCGTCACACTTGTGCCCATGCTCCAGACAAGGAGACCAGGGCAGACCTTGCCAATGAGACTGCTGAACCTAGCTTAAGCCGGTCCTTCCCAGTGCGTCTGGCCAGAGAATCGTGGAAAGACTTGACACAGGCCTTGAGACCTGCTTTGAAAAGCTTGCAGGCGGTGTGTGCGGTGAGCACAGCCTGCCGGACGGGGTGGAGGGCCTGAGGAGCAGGGCTGACCTGGGAGTGCCACAGTTGCGGATCCAGAGACCATGATGAGCAGGGCAGGACCCACTGCTCCTGCTACACAAATCTGGGCCAGAGGGACCGAGAAAGCAGAAGGCACCAGGAGCCTGCAGAGATCTGGGTCTGCTCGGGGGTGCATGTGACCCTGGCGGTGCCCTTGGGGGTGCTGGCCGGGCAGCCTGACTGGTGAGGCAGGAGTCGTGGCCGCTGTGCCCGCAACCTCATTTGTGGGGAAGGTTCCTGAGGTGCAGGCCTGCTCCTGGGCACAGGGGTAGAGGTGGGGGCCGCTGGCTGGTGGCTCCATCAGGGAGGGATCCCTCACTCCCGGGCCCCTTCCCGACCTGCTTAGGTGGCCTGCCTCGATGGCCTGCCTGGGCCTCCCTCCCTCAGTGACCTGGCACTCTTGCCTCTAGCTTTGCCAGCCCCGAGTACCTGGATGCCCTTCGCAGGGTCACCTTGGTCGTCCGGCAGCATCAGAAGACCTTGGTCCCTGGACAGCCCCAGCTCAACATGTGCAACCAGGCCGTCATGGTAAGTGCTTGATACGCTACGGGCTGCCGATGCTGGGAGGGTGTCCCTGGGGCCGTGTGACGTCTGCACACCCCAGACCCTCACCCATAGACTGGAGCTGTTGTGCTTCTGGAGGCTGCTGGGGCTGTGGGCTCGAGCCCCCCTTCTGTCCTGCTGCTCTGGCGCAGACCTCCCAGGTGGGGCAGGGGGTCGCTTGGCTCCTCTGCAGGTGTGGACATGCTGGGCTGATGGCCTGAAGGTCCCGTCAGGGACAGATCTCCTGGAACCCTGTGGGCACTCGCCTGCAAGTCCTGTCCCTGTAACTGTGTGTGTGTGGCACCCCGCTCCACAAAGATGGGTGATTCCGGTGTCCCAGTGTCAGAAGCTTTGGCTGCACCCCAAAACCCACCGAGCACCGTCAGGATGGCGTAGCCCCGCGTTCCAGCTGGACGGCCCCTCTCCCCGAGCGGCCCGCAGACCCGCGCGGTGGTTTGGAGAGCAGCTGAGCACGTCGCAGCTGCCACGTGGAGTCCAGCCTGCACTGAGGAGCCAATGCGGCGTGGGGGGCGTGGGCGTGGGGGGGGCGTGTGCTGGGAAGACCGAGTCGGGCATTAGCAGCTAATCATGCTGGGCATGATCATAGGGCGGGCAAGGCTGCCTCGTTAGCCAGGGCCAGTGTGGGGGTGGCCTTGTCGCTGCTGTCCACACCTGGGGCTTCGTGTCCTGAGGCTCCCCAAGAAGGACATTCAGGGCAGAAGCCGGCAGGGCTGCCTCCTTCCCTCAGAGGGGCGGTCTGCCTTGTGAACTCACAGCAGTGCAGCAGAAGGTCCCCGTCTCAGGACCACCAAGGTGCCTGGGGTCCCAGGAGCCTGAGAGCCCTCCACACCCACTCCAAGCCCCATCTTTAATCTTTCTGTGAAAGCGAGCTGTCCCCACCCCCAGCATGCCCTCTGTCAGCAAATGCATGTGGTGCCTGCCCAGGCTGGGGCTCCAGGTGGCAGCGTCCTTGCCCACCGCGTGCAAATGTAGTGGACGTGGGGGTGGAGGGACCTGCCTGGGGCGCTGCTGCAGCTGGCTGACCCCTGGACCCGGAAAAACTGGGGGACCAGCCCTCCCCCGCAAATCCCACAAGTGAACTGAAGGCAGACCAGAGCAGTGTGGATCAGCCTCCAGAATCATGGGTGCTGGCTCCCCACAACCTCCCAGACTGGCAAAGTCTGTATCCTGCACACACTCTGTCATTTTGCTCTGCGTCCGACGTTGAGAACAGCTTCCTTATCCAAAGCCTGCCTTGCCCCAGCGGCCGGCCCCACCCTGCATGGGCAACCAGAGGCCACGTGATGCCACGCAGGGCAGGAGAGACCTTCACCGGGTTCTCACTGCCCTTGATGTTCTGATTCATTAACAGCCTCTGAAGCCCCCTGTGGGGGGAGTGCCCCCAGGGTGATTCTGAGTCTCCCGACCAAGGCACAGGGACACCCCATGGGCAGTGGGGGAACATGGCGAAACAAGGAAGGCTCCCTCCTCCGGACCGGGAGAAATACGGCCATACAGAGCAAGTGTGGCCATTCACGTGCCCTGCCGAGGGGCTCCCCTGAAACAGGCCAGCTCTGACCCCAGCTGACGATCAGAGAGCTTTGTGTGGATGATCCTGAGCAGGCTGAGGACCCTCCTGAGTCAGCTGTTGTTGAAACGTGGAGACACAGCAGGGCCGGTGGCTGCCTGGCCACGGGTCCTCACCCTGAGGCCAAGAAGCGGTGGGGCAGGGCAGGCGTCGGGCTGCTACTGAGCAACTTCGTGTTCTCTCTTCTTGTTGCCAGAACTGGGCGCCCCCAGGCTGTGAAAAGTTAGGGAAGTGCCTGACGCCCCCGGAGTCCAGACCGGAGAAGTGCTCCTGGCCCCACTAATACCTGCAGGCGGGAGGACTCTGCCTCAGGGCTCCCGCGCCGGAGGAGCCCCGCTGCCCTCTGCCCTGCCCTGCCCACACCAGACACACCTCACCTGCCGCCAGCAGCAGGACCTGCAAGGCGCCACGTGGCCCAGACCTAGTCCTGGCCCGGCTGACCCTGCCAACGGTGACCCCCAGCCCCAGAGCTGAATGCTGCCCTTCGGCCTCCCTCTGCCGGCCTCCATCCCAGGATCCACAGGACGTGGCTGCGACCCGAGTCTCGCTGTCACAGTCGGCCGTGCCAATCCTGTTTTGGCCCATTGGCCCTATGCAGAGGGTCCCCCTGCACCCCTCCAGGGTGGGGTTGTGAACGTGGAGGGGGATCCTGACCGCAGCCAAGGAAGGCCCCCCTGGTCCAGGGGGGACCTTGCTCTTTCACCTTCCTCAGGGATCCTGACCCCAGTACCCTGTGGGGCAAGTTGGTGCCTCGCAGCTGCCCCGCCGACCCTCCTCCCCTGGCTCGGGTGTGGCCTACCGCGAGGGGCCTGCGTATGCGGGTGTAGACTGCCACCTCACCGCACCCTCCCGCCCCTGCCCGAAGGCTTGCGTAGCCGCCTTCCGTAGAGGGGGCTTTTCACGTCTCTGCGGGGATTGTGATGCCGAAGTTGCACCGTTGTAAGACTTGGGAAATTATGAAGAAGAGTTTTAGAATAAAGGAACAGGCATTTTTGGTTTTGTTTTTTTTAAGAGCTATATTTTTTGCGGAAGTTGACGGGAGGGGGAGGGGTGCGCTGGCGTGGAATTCGCTCCGTCCAGCGCCGGGCTGCCGAGCCACCGCCCACCTCCGCTGACGGGGCGGTGCTCTCGGGTGGCCCTGGCCCTCCTTCCTCCCAGACTCTCCCGGGGCCGGCCCCACCCCTCCAGGCCCGGCGCCCCCGCCCCTCGGGCTTTCCCCGGGAGCCCGGTCGGGCCTGCGTAGACGCCGATTTCGCCCCCCGGCCGCGCGCAAACCGCCCTAGGCGGGGACGCGTTTGTTCAGGGTACAGAAAAACAAGCGCGCCTTAACAACGTTGGCACCTAAGATTCGATGAAATACGGTAGGTCCTTCGGGCGCTGGCGGCGGCCCCGCCCCACAATCCGGCCCCGCCCGCCGGCGCTGAGCGCAGGCGCAGAGCTGCCGGCCCCGCCCCCAGTCGCCGAGCTTAGCTCCCCGCTCGCCGACACGCGCCGGCTGCCAGATGGCGGACCCTGAGCTGCAGCTGGTGGCGCGGCGCATCCGCAGCTTCCCGGACTTCCCTGTCCCGGGGGTGCTGTTCAGGTGCGGGCCCGCCGGCCACGTGGTCCGCGCGGACGGACGGACGGATGGAGCGGGGCACGGGAGGGCGGCGGCGCGGGGCCCGGTCCCGACCCCTGGGGTCACCCGGCCTGCTCTTGCGTGCCAGGGACATCTCGCCCCTCCTGAAGGACCCTGACTCCTTCCGCGCCTCCATCAGCCTCCTGGCGAACCACCTGAAGAAGACCCACGGCGGCAAGATCGACTACATCGTGGGCAAGCGGAGGGGCCGGGGGCGGGTGCCTGAACCCCAGGGGGACGCCCCGGGAGGCCGTGTGGTTGGCGGGGTCGCCGGGTCTGCGCCAGGCCCCGTGAGGGTGGCGTGTGCGATCCTCTCCCCCGGGCAGAGCGAACACAGGACGGACGCCCCGCGGTTGCTTGGGAGGGGCTCGGGGGGCGACCCTCAGGGGACACGCCGAACGCTGCACGGGTGTTTGGGTGGGTTGTAGGGATGGACCCGCTGCGCCCCACGTTGCAGCCTGAGGGTGGGTACAGCCTTGGGTGGTGCGGCGGAGGGCAGCGTCCCCCCCCCAACCAAGTTCCTGGCCCTCAGCTCCGGACACGTGGGGCCCCGCGGCTGAATTTCCCCAGGGAGGGTCTGACCAGAGTCTCTCCCTCTCCAGTGTGTACTGGGCCGCGGGCCGGGCCCTTTCCCCACGCGCACCCTGGCAGGTCTTGTCCCTGTGCGAGCCCCTCTCCTGGCCCGCCCATGGCTCCCCGCCTCTGGGAGGGCCCACAGCCTTCCACTTGGCTGAGTCCTCCAGGGGGTTCCTTCTGGAAGCTGCTGCCACTGCACCCCTGGGTGGGGTGAGGGCCTGCGCTGCCCCTTTCCAGGCAGATGCTGCTTTTAAGGACGACAAGAGGCGTTCAAGTCTGATCCATGGTCACTGCTATCCCGTTAGAGATGGGGAGAAGTCCGGTCACTCCCCTGAGGCCACGCAGTCACGTACAGGCCCGTGCCAGACACACCTGGTCCTTGGCCCCGGCTCCCCAGCTCCCATCAGCACCCAGCACTCCCTGTGCCCGGTGGGTGCAAGAGGACGGATGTCGTTGGTCCTGTAGCTGGAGCCGACAGAGCTAGGGGCCTTCTGTCATTGCAGAGGCTCCGTGGCCTCTTCTAGCACTGGCCCACAGGGATCTCGTGCTGCGGTGCCCCCCAGCTGCCCCTTGACACCCCAGCTCTCGCCAACAGGCCTGGACTCCAGAGGATTTCTGTTCGGCCCCTCCCTGGCCCAGGAGCTTGGCTTGGGCTGCGTGCTCATCCGAAAACGAGGGAAGCTCCCTGGCCCCACTGTGTCTGCCTCATACACCCTGGAATATGGCAAGGTGAGTGGGCTGCGTGCACCGCTTGGGTCCCCCAGGGATAGTTGTGGGGTCAGTGGCCCTTCCGTGGGTGGTGCTCAGCCTGAGACACCAGGCTAGCTCACGCAGCCAGGAAACCGCTGGGTGGGTTGAGAGTGGGGCTCAGACCGTGTGGCATCCTGTCAGCGTCACCTCCCAGGCCATTTCCAGACACATGCAGACCGTGGGCCTGCTTCCCATCTGCAGGCTGAGCTGGAAATCCAGAGAGACGCCCTGGAGCCGGGGCAGAAGGTGGTTGTCGTGGACGATCTGCTGGCCACTGGCGGTGAGGGTCTCCCCCCAGCAGAGGGCCTGGCAGGAGGGCTGCTAGGGCTGCAAGAAAGTGCCTCACCGCAGGAGTGAGAAGTGGACTGGGGCCCCGGCACTCTACAGTTTACCCGTGAGCAGCAGGACCCTGCACGGGCCATTGGGAGCCTTGTCAGCATACCAACCCCCTCCCCCCACCCAGGAACCATGCGGGCAGCCTGTGAGCTGCTGGGCCAGCTGCAGGCCGAGGTGCTGGAGTGCGTGAGCCTCGTGGAGCTGACGTCGCTGAAGGGCAGGGAGAAGCTGACGCCCGTGCCCTTCTTCTCTCTCCTGCAGTTCGAGTGACTCTGGCCCCATCCTGGCAGGAAGGAGGTCCAGCCCGGTGGCTGGCTCTGGCCGCCAGGGGGCACCAGCCATCCGCCTGGACTTTTTTTTTTTAATTTTGTAAGGGTTTTGTGCAGTTGTCTTTCTCTGGTGCCTAGGCCACCGTTGGGGTCCTTCCTGCGGGCTGTGGGGGTGCCAAGGCCTGGAGCCAGCAGCTCCGGCCGGGGCCCAGCCCCAGGCCCCTGCAGGTGCACTCACAAACACCGCGAGAAGTGAATAAACTGATTTGCTAGAATGGCTGCTCTCGGTCCAGGTGCCAGGGTGGGGTCTGGCCTTGGGGCCGGGACATGCAGGGACCCCCCCCATGGCAGGCTGCACAGGCCTGTCTATGGCACTGTGTGGTTCTGTTCTCACAGAGGGCAAACAGGAGACCGGTGTGGCCTGGGGCGGCTTCCAGATGTGGGAAGTGCTGGTCTGTGTTGCTGGGGCTGGTTCCTTCAGGGGGCTCCAGGGAGACCGTCTCCTGGCTTTCCCAGCTTCTAGAGCCTCAGGGCCGGCCCTCCATTCTCAGAGCCAGCGGCTTACCACTCTCCAGGCTTGCAGACTGCCTCCCTCTTACAAGGGTCCAGCGGGGACGCCAAGCCCACTGGACCATCCAGGATTCCCACATCGACGTCCAGGGGGGCATTCTGCCAACCGCCTAACCTCCTGCCCCACTTCCCTGCACCCCAAACACAGCAAAGACAAAGTCCCCAACAGAAACCAGTTTAATGACGATACGACGCACCGGGGGAGGCCTACTGCCCAGAGAGCCTGGTGGGGAGTTCAGAAGGGGGAAAAGTGCATGGTGTTCCTAAAGGGAGTAAAACAGACACAGCGGGCCAGGCCAGGGACCGGAAGCCCATGTCTGCGAGGCGCTCACAGCACCGCCTCCGCGCGGGCAAGGCGGGCCAGCCGTGTGATGACCTCTGCCAGGTCAGCAGCCTTGTCCAGCTTGACATAGGTGTCCGTGCGGATGTGGTGGAGGCTGAGCCAGTCGGGCAGCAGCTCGGAGAGGAGCCGCACGTGCTGCTCCATCTCCCCTGCAGACGGAGGGGGGTGTGAGGCTGGGGCCCATGCATACCTGAGTGGGCGCTAAGCCCCCATGGGGTGGGTGTCCGGGCCGTCAGCAGGCCTTCCTTAGGACCATCCCTCCCCCTCTCGCCCACACCCGCCAAGCCTGTCCGTGCCCCCGAGAAGCAGAGTGAACAGTGGAAAGATGGGGGACAGCCTTGCCAAGGAGCTGACCCTCCCACCGAGCCCCACGCCGGTCCTGGTCCCGGTCCCCAGGAGGGAGCTGCCGGTCCCGTGGGGCGCAGGGCTGTCCGAGGGGCTGCAGGGTGACCGGCTGGGTTGTGAGCAGAGGCTCCAGAGGTGACCTCAAGGGCACTGTGCCTGCCCAGCACACACCACAGACCCCACACGTGGGGAGCAGCCGGTCCACGGCGCCCACCCTCACCCGGGAGCCGGGGACACGGGGAGGACGCAGCACACACCGGGGCTCATGGCTGCAGGGTAGCTGCCGAGCATCCTGCTGCAGGCCACCTCCATGGTGAGCGCTGGCTTCCGCGCGGACACGAAGACGCCGCGCAGCACGCGGGCCAGCTCGGGCAGCCGCTCCAGCCTCTGCAGGCGCATCTCCTGCTCTGGCCGCCGCGTCATCTGGGCCAGCTGCTTCCGTTTCTCCTTGCACCGGATCTGCAGGGGGCCAGGGGGCAGTCAGGGCAAGGCCAGCCCCGCGGCCCCCCTGCCGGGACCCCCAACACTCACCCTCTCCAGCAGGTCCTGGGACAACCCCCTCAGGGCCGCAGGCGGGGCGGCCGGTGGGGCGGCCAGCAGGGCAGGGCTGGGGGACCCAGGGCTGCTGGGCTGAGCCGTACGCAAAGCCAGGTCACTCAGGGCCTTTTCCATCTGTGGCAGGTCAGATGGGAGAAATGAGGAGCAGCACCCCCTGCCCAGGAGTCGCCGTCTATCCAGCCCAAGCACCCTGTGCATCCAGGCATGAGGGGAGGGCACCTCCCGCCACCCGCAAGGCACTTGGCCAAGGATGGAGCCTGTCAGGTACCCACGTGGAGGGTCAGGCTGCCCTGCCCCGTCATCCCGGACACAGTCTCACCCTGGGCGACAGGAGGCTGCAGGCACGGGCCAGCACCTCCTGGGCGGTGGCCAGCTTCTCCGTGGTGGGCGGCTGGGGCAGCTCGGCCGGCTCGATGTCAGGCACCTCGTCCACGTTGAAGCGTGGGTGCCAGCGTGTGAGCTGGTCCTCGGGCACCACCATGGGAGGGTTCAGGGAGGCCAGGAAGGCCTGTGTGCAAAGGGGACAGGACGTGCCGGGTGACCCTGGGCACATCCGCGTGGGGGCAGGCAAAGCTGCTGGGCTCCTGTCCCAGCTGAGCGACCTCGGGCAAGGTCCCGCACCTGAGCTCCAGGTGTTCGGCTGGGCCAAGAGCCAGAAACAGCAGCCACCAGCACCCACTGAGCCCATCATGCACCTCCCAGGGCCTGAGGCTGCCATGCTGAGCTCCTCCCCCTCAGCTAGGGGACCGGGCCCAGGGCCCCCCGCCCAGCCCGCACCCACCCTGCAGGAGGCAGCCATAGGAGGGGCTCAGAAAACTCTAGAGAGGACCTGGTTCTTGCAGGTAGGAGCGAGCCTTGACAGGAGGAGGGGACGGAGGACAGGGCGGGCTGGGGAGAGGCTTCCTCCAGGGGTGGAGCTGGCCATCCCGGGGCGCGCACTCACCCTGTGGTGCTCACGGACGCGCTCCACCAGATTCTGGCCGAAGACCTGCCGGCGCTGCAGGAGGCGCGAGGCCGTGAGCTGGGGCGCCGCGCTGCCAGCCTCTGTGGGCAGAGCTCAGGCCTGAGTCCCCAGCCCTGAGACCCCGGGCATCGTAGGAGGCCGGGGACCCGACGCTTAACACCCATGCTCAAAACCGTGGCCCTGGCAGGGAACCGGAGGCTCAGGGCTACGTGAGCTCGGCCACAGCACACTCACCCTGGTCCAGCAGCGGCTCGATGGTGAGCTGGTAATCAGACCTCTTAACGCCGTCCTTGAAGGTGGGGACATTGCGCTCCTGGCGGAAGCGGTAGGAAGCAGGGTACACAGTTCTGATCTGACCAACATTGCGCTCCTCAAAGCGCCTACGGAACAAGGTGCTGGGGTCAGAGAGCGGCCGGCAGGGCACACGGCAGACTCCGCAGGCAGGGGGAGGGCCCCACCTGTGGCGGGCCACTCACTTGCGCATCATGTCCTGGACGCCCTGCTTGACTTTGGCAAAGGTCACGGTCTCGGAGCGGTTGTAGAGCATGCCCACGATGGTGTCCATGCTGCGGAACATCTCCGCCAGCACCTGGTACTTGTAAGGAAGCACGAGGCTCGGGGGCCCTGGCTGGGCCAGGGCATGGAAGCGCTGATAGGCAGGGGCCTTCTGTCCACTGCCAGGGAGGGATCCAGGCGTCAGGGGAAGCAGCAGACCCACACCCCTCTAGCACCAACAGCAGGCAGGCAATGTGGCCAGGGAGACCCCAGAGTCGGGGCTTGAGAACCACTCCCGACACACCACACCCCCGTTCCCACGGCCCCCGCACACCCCGTGTCCCATCATGCACATGGCTGGAGGTGCAGACAGAAAGGCATAGCTCCAAACCTAGCTCTGCCATGTCCTGCCTGGCAACCTAGGGAAGTCCCCGGCCACCCCCAACCCTGGTTCCCTCATCTCTAAGAGGCACTCGATGACCACAGGGGCTGGGGAGGACAGACATGGCTACAGGAGACAAATACCCAATAACGGTGAGCTGTTGACAGCATCTGAAGCTCACAAGGGCCCCCCGCGGCAAGAAGTGGCACCTCTCACGGATGGAAGCCAGGGTGCGGAGCTAGCCAGTGGCAGGGCTGGGATCTGAGAGCCTCATCACCTGCACGGCTTCCATGGAAGGAGCAGCCCTGGCCTCTACCCAGTCCTGTCCTCCCACCAGCCTAGCCTTTCCTCCGGTGCCTGACCGCCCACCCAGGACTCACCATGGCCCTGCTGGGTGCCCCTGGTCCTCGGGCACGCTGGGTTCCCCAGCATCCTTCCTCTGGGCACTTGCCCTCAGCTCCTGGGCCCGGGCCCCTAGCTCCCGTGCCCGCTGTAGGCACGACTTGAGCTCAGAAAAAGTGACTTTTGAGGAAGCCTGTGGACACAAGATGCCTTCAGCTGGCCATTCACACCCACATCACTCTACCTCCCCCACCCAGGGTCCAACCTCACCTTCTCCTGAGCGGCCAGGCAGGGCTGTAGACCTGCTGAGAGAGGGGCCTGCTCTGGGGAGCCGGGGACAGCGGGGGCAGCCGGGTCAGCAGGGGCAGCCGGATCAACGGGGGCAGCAGGGGCAGCACAGACAGTGGGGTCAGCTAGGTCAGCGGGGGCAGCTGGGGCAGTCGGGTCAGCCGGGTCAGCGGGATCCGAGACCTGGTGGGCAGAACGCCAAAGGTGAACGAGTGGACGAGACTGTGGTGGAAGGGATTCCTCCCTCCCTCAGCTAGCTAGAATACGCGCTGCTGGGGGCACCAGTGGAGGTTTTTGCTGGAGTCGAGCCAGAGGAGCGGGCCCATCGCCTGCTTCCTGTTCTTCTCCGGCCTGACCCCCCGCCCAGGCTTGCAGGCAGGTCAGACGTCTACCAGCCCGCTAAGCCCTGGCCCTCCTCACGCCAGCACCTCTGCGCCCTCGCTGCGGAGCTCTGTGCCCGGTTCTCGCGGCGGCCACAGCACACCTGCCCCCTGCCGTCTGCGGTGACCGGGCCCCAGGCCTTCTCCACTGTTTCCTGCTGCGGCTCCGGGCCTGTTCTCTGCACGCTGCACCGTCTGCAGCCAGACCCCCGGTCCGCGTCCCCCCTGCCCCCGCCCCGGTCTCAGTTTCCCCCGTCACCGTG